CCAACCCAAACCCAAACCCAAACCCAAACCCAAACCCAAACCCAAACCCAAACCCAAACCCAAACCCAAACCCAAACCCAAACCCAAACCCAACCCAAACCCAAACCCAAACCCAAACCCAAACCCAAACCCAAACCCAAACCCAAACCCAAACCCAAACCCAAACCCAAACCCAAACCCAAACCCAAACCCAAACCCAAACCCAAACCCAAACCCAAACCCAAACCCAAACCCAAACCCAAACCCAAACCCAAACCCAAACCCAAACCCAAACCCAAACCCAAACCCAAACCCAAACCCAAACCCAAACCCAAACCCAAACCCAAACCCAAACCCAAACCCAAACCCAAACCCAAACCCAAACCCAAACCCAAACCCAAACCCAAACCCAAACCCAAACCCAAACCCAAACCCAAACCCAAACCCAAACCCAAAACCTAAAAATAGAATTCTTCTAAACCCAACGTTCAAACCCTAACCCAAAATTATAAACTTATTCAAATATCATTAAATTTTATATCATTCGATAGCTAATGATGAGTAGAACAATGTGGTATATTTAGTTTTTCAATTTATAAAATATTAACTTTTTAAATAGAGTCAGATTAAAATTTCATAAATGAAACCATAGGAAGAATAATAATTTCGAAATCCTTTAATGAGATTATATAGTTTATATCATCATTAACAACATTTATAATCACTTTCATATGAAATTTCAAAGGTTCATGTCTGTAGGTATAAAAGTATGAAGTGAAAAGGGAAGTTGTGAAGTACAAGAGGTCAACAATAACTTTTTAGTTTCTCATCAAAACATATTGAATCCTGACATGAAAATGTTCCATTTGATGAGTAAACATCGAATATCAAATTTATTTTAACTTTCATATTTAAAGATTTCTTCCCTCAACCATCATATGGTCAACTATGATGAAAAGGTGGAAATCTTGAAAAAGGACCACCTATTGAAACTTTACCAACATGATGTAGATGATATATAATGATGTAGAATTCAATTTCATATCATAAAAATCAGAAATGGTACCATGGGAAGGTAAATGTTGAAATATTATGGTTGACTTTAGAGAAAGACAGGTCAGATCAACTCTATCAAATACATCACTTCAATC